AGAGGGCCTATGATGCTGGAGCAGTGAGGAAGGGGGAGAGATGTAGGTCAGAGAGGACACAAGAGTGAAAGCTTGGCTTGGCACCTGGAGCTCAGCCACTAAGGCTTTGGCATCATACACTGGAGCTGGTGATTCGAACCCAGCCTGGGACTGCCAAACAACAAGGACAACTACAACCAAAATGAACAAAAAAATAGGCAGGCATTGTGGCAGGCACTCAGCTATTTGGGAGGCTGAGGCAAGAGAATCGCTTAAGCCCAAGAGTTTGAGGTTGCTGTGAGCTGTGACTCCATTGTACTCTACCCAGAGCCAAGCTTGAGACTCTGTCTCAAAAAAAAAACAAACAAAAAAAATAGAGTGAAAGCTTGTAGGAATCAGAGGCCATTGTAAGAACTTTGCCTTTTTGTGAGTATAATGATAAACTTGGAGGGTTCTGAGCAGACGCTTATGAGAGTAATCTTCCTATTTTAAGAAGTCGCTCTGGATACTCTGTTGACCTGAGAGTGTATGTGGATGTGGCAGGGGACTTAAAAGGAACTTTAAGTGGAGGTATAGGGAGTCAGTTTAAAGAGTCTGTCTCTAGCTGAGAGATACTAGTGGTTTGGTCAAGGTTAATATGGTTGGTGCTGGTGAAATGCTGCTAAATCCCGGACTTAAAAATGTGTGAAGTCGAAGTCAGGGATGATTTCAAAGTTTTTTACCCAGCAATTGAAAAAATGTTGCCATTGCCTCTGACAGGGAATATCAAGAGTTTAGTTTTAGATACAAGTTTGACAAATGTGTTAAACATTGAAAAATACATGAAAATGTCACATATGCATTTTGTACATGATTATGAAGTTGAGATGTGAGGTCTTTTCTGGGGATGCACGTTTATTATGCGCGAGTTCATCAATGGTGTTGATACTGTGAAGGAAAACCAGGAGGGATGTGACCAGCAGGAAATTGAAGGCGGGAGCCCTTGCACACCCAAATGAGGATGATGAGGATAATCAGAAAATGTTTTTGGAAAAAGCCATTAAAGTGATTGGAGGAAAATTATGAAAGAGTAGTTTAAAATTATGATATGCCTGAACAGAGTATTACTGAAATAATAGGCAGAATTTAAAGAATTTATTGACTTCTGACCAATAATAATCTTTGTTATTTAAAATGATTACTTACCAAATTCATGCCTATTTGTAGGAAAAATTAAAATCACATAAGATTTCCTTCCATATATTGAACTCTAGCCCTATAATTTAAAGTTCATGTTCCCTATTTTCATTGTTCATGTTCATAAAAGGGGAGGGCTTCACTTGGTGTGTAGGATATGAGGATTAGAGAGAAAGTGGTGTACAATCGTGTTTGAAATGCTAACCACCTCCTTGTATGCCCAATGTGAAGTTAGCATCAGAAATTCACACTCTCTGCACATTAACTGAGCTGTAGAACTATGGAAATATTTTTAGATCTAGTTACAATGTGTCATATAATAAATTTATGGTAGTTAGTGACTTCCTAGAAGTTTCAGAAGTCTCACAAGGATTTCCCAGATATACTCTTCTAATTCATGTCTACATTCCACCCTACATGGCTCTTTCTACCTCTTCTCTCCTGTCAGGCATTTATTAGCAATATTCTATTTATTCATTTTAGAAACAATAATACTTTGTCATTTAACTGCTATATGTTTGTCATAAGACGTTTTTGTTACTGAAATAACCACACATCCATGCTTTAAAATTGTGATAATGGAATTTTGTGTAAGGAATAACTCCTAAAATAAATATGTTCTCTGATACAGGGATTTCCAACCAAATCGGACAGCTGATGCAAACTGTGGACTCGTCAGGCCAGCAAATATGAATAGTGCTGTTTGTACTGAACATTTTCATTACATTTGTGAAAAGAGAAATCTTTATAAACCTTGCTCACATAATTACTAAAAAAGAAGCTTTAATCTTTTCATTGTTAATGACTATTAATAAAATCCACAGTGGCAACAATAACGTAAAAATATTTGCTCATATCATCAACTCTGTGTAATTTATGAGGGATTGTTATCTCTAAAACATTCCTAAGCAAGGATAAAGAGTAAATCCATGAAATAAGTTGATTTTTTGGAAATATCAAGAATCAACAAATGAGAGGAAAAAAATTGATTTTAACTCGGTGAGTTTTTCCATTTCTTTCTTTCTTTTTTTTGAGACAGAGGTTCATTATGTTGCCCTCGGTAGAGTGCTGTGGCATTACAGCTCACAGCAACCTCAAACTCTTGGGCTTAAGCCATTCTCTTGCCATAGCCTCCTGAGTACCTAGGACTACAGGTGTCTGCCACAACGCCCAGCTATTTTTTGGTTGCAGTTGTCATTGTTGTTTAGCAGAACTGGGCCAGGCTCGAACCCTCCAGATTTGGTGTATGTGGCTGGCACCCTACTCGCTGAGCTACAGGTGCCAAGCCTACATTTATTTTTTCTTAATCATTTCTTAAATTTATTTGAACAGGTAAGTAATAAATTTATACGTTCAAAATACAAAAGGAACAAAATCATGAACTGTAAAAAAAAAATTTCTCCTTCATGTTGTCTTCTATTCATCTAGTCCCCTCCTCAGAGGGAAAATAAAACCAAGTTTCTCGGGTATTATTCTGGGTATAGTCTGTGGAAGTGGAAGTAAAAAACATACATATAACACTTGCTTCACTAAATATAACTATAACTAATATCCTTACTTTATTATTTCTAATGTAAACAATCTTGTGGATTGTTCCATATCAATACATAAGAAGTTGCCTCACTTCTGACACGCATTTGCAAGCATTGCACTAAATAGATATACCAAAATTTACTTACCCAGTTTTATTTCAATGGATGGTTAGATTTGTTCCAGAATTTTTGTAATGAATATGTTATTCAGTTTCATTTGGCATAGAGATTAGCCCTATGATAAATCTCTAGCATTGTATTTTCTGTGTCAAAATTATGCACATTTTAATTTTGATAGATATAATAATTGCCTACCAATCATGTCCACAAAGCAATGTTCAAGAGTGCCTTCTTCCTTATATTTTTACCATCACAGTTGGTCAACAATCTGTTTGATTTTGCCAATAAAATCTTTGCCATAGAGGGATATCTTGTATCAGTTAAATGTACCATTCACCATGTTTGTGCAACTGAATATCTTATTCTGGCATTTCTTTTATGTAGACTGTCCCCCCCACCCCCCCAAAAAAAATCAATAGGAAAGGGATGAACATAAGAGCCTCTGTAGTCTCAGTTACTCGGAATGGTTGGGGTGGGAGGGAGGATCAGTTAAGCTCAGGAGTTGGAGGCTGGAGTGAACTGTGTTTGGGTCCCTGCGCTCCAGTCTGGGCGACAGACTGGATTCAAAGGCATCACACCAATCAATGTCTCTGTAATCACATGCTCTTCTTGCTCTGTGTCTCTGTCCAAATATGTCTCTTTTTATCAGGACATGAGCCCTTACAAGGTATAGGGTCCATCGTAATGCCTTCTTCTTAACCTGAACTTGTCTGCAGAGACCTTCTTTCCAAGGTACTGGGGTGAGGATTTCAACGTTTATTTGGAAAACACAATTCAACCCACAATGGTGTGTTCACTTTATGAAAATTCATTGAGTTTTACATTAATAGCTTGTTCAGAGGTCTGTATAAGTACTATACTTTCATAAACGATTGACTTAGTAGAATAAGTCATTTACATTAGGAAAAAGTTTAAAATATCTAGGAGTAAATGTAGCTAACACAAGATAAAGTTGATGACTGCAGAAAATTATGAAACTTGCCAAGACATATTGAAGATTTTAATTGCTAGAGAGAGTATACTAATGGATAGAAAGACTTCATAATATTATAAGTATGTTGACTCTCTCTAAAATGTTCTACAGATTTATTGCAAGTCCAAAAACTAACAAAGAAAAGCTGAGAGGATTGATGGCCTGCAGACCTATAATCACATATATCAAAGCAAGTTTCTTCAGGCAGAAGAAAAATATTACCAAAGATAAAGATAAATTGGAACCTACACAGTGAAATAAAGATTTTTTCCATAGTGATAAAAATGATTAATAGAAATTAAAAACTTTAATCGCATTTAAAGATAAGTACCTAAAGAAAAATAATAAACTGTTTTATGGAATTTATAACAAAGAAATAAAACTAAATGACAATAATAGCAATAGTACAAAAGATGGAAACAGAGAGTTAGAAGTATATAGTGGTTGAGGACCACAGCTATTAAGTAAATTCCCTAAAGTTACAAAAGCTGGAAAACTGGTATCTGAGCCCAAGCAGTAGGAATCTGGGGCAGGCTCTCTCTCCCTTCATTAAGCCTTTTGAAATTGTGACATAAAATGTACAAAGAGAAATGTACAAAAAAACCCGTAAATGCACAACTGAAGAGATGATTACAAAGTGCCCATCACCCAGCGCCCTGCTGTTCTTCCCAGTCAGTGTCCGCTCCCTTGACTCTAAGGGTGTCTATCATATCCTACTTAGTAGATATGGTTGACAAAATAATATATGAAAAGATGCTTCATATCATTATTCAGCAGGAAAACTCAAATTAAAATCATAGCAAAATTGTACTACATTTTATGAAAATAGTTTTATAAGCTGACAATATTAAATGTGGAAGGATGCAAGTAAATGGAATTTTCGTGTACTTTTGGTGGGAATGCAAACTGGTATAACTCCTCTGGAAAACAGTCTGAAAGTTCATTTACTGTTTGGGAAACTAAGACTCTTGACATTTGGACTTGCTGCCAAGGACATGGCTATTAGGTGTGGTGCAGCTCTCACAAAAAAGGTAAGATATGAAATAGGAATGTATACAAAATTGTGTAAGAATAATGCCTTTAATTACCACTTACTATTTCGTTAATTACTGGCCAAAATGTACATGATTGTGAATGAAGACTCTAGAACTTCCAAGTTCTGAGTTTGTGTAAGGAAACATCATTATATCTGTCTTCTGTTGTTGGTGTTGTTTTCACCATTAGGGAGCAAGACAAACAATTTTCTTCTCACAGATAAAGCGCATGTATCGGGAACAGTCAGAAACAGTCATGCTGCTTCTTCTTATACTTCCACAGTTTCCACTTTTTGACTCATCCCAATCACTGAAACTACAATAAAAGCAATTACGAGCTGTAAAACACACATTTATTAATGCAGAAGTAGGAGGTATTAGTGCCAAGTTAAGGTGGTGAATTTTGTTTTCTTAGAGGGACTACCTTTTGGCACCCTAAGCATTCCCAGAGTACCTTACAGGGAATATTGACATAGAATTGACATGGAGAAGTCTCCTGTCCTTCCTTGTGTATTTCTCTCCATGTTGAGCTTCGGTCCTTTGGAAGTGTCAATGTGCGTGTATAAGGGTGTGTATGTGCATGTACATTTATGTGTCTGCATATGTATATATGTACATATGTATAAATACGTATATGTATGTTTCTTTCCTCTGTCTTCAGGACTTTAAAATGGCATCAGTGATTCTAAAACTTATTAGCTATTATCTACGGCAGATACTTACAGTTTGGGAAGGGGTGCTGAGTTATCCTCCCATGTCCAGGAACTGCTCACTCCTGTACGGGACAATCCAGTCCACCAGACAGAAGATATTTGGTTTTGAATGAAGTTCTGTGATAAATGGAGCATTATTTATGAGTAAGAATTTTTTTATGTTCTCAAATGAAGTAATAATCTTGTTAATGTTAACTTTAATTAATGTGAATATCAAAAAGTGTTAAGACCAACTTCCTCCAGATTCTCTTTAAGTTATAAAATAATGACATCTCAGTTATTGATCATTTATTAAATGGTGAGTTATAAAAAAGACTAAAATGATACTCAGTTTACCTATGTTTATTTAAACTCAGGCTGAAATCTTTCTTTTCCTTTGAAACTTATTTTTGTGGCTCAAAGATAAGGTCTGAGCAGTTTGGTTTGAATGTGAGGGTCCAGGTGTGACAGCTATGCATGTCTAACGATGTTGTTTTGTATTTTGGTTCTACAAATGCTGTGTTTATTTCTTGTGAAATGAGCATCCTGAGAAAATAACTTTTTCTTCATCAGATGAAGCATTTTACAAAGCTGGGTGAATAATTACTACTTGACAGGTATAAAAACAAGCAACATTCATCTAAATTTGAATCTTACAAAGCTTATTCCACACATTGTCTCATTTGCTCTTCCCAAATATATTAGGAAGTGCAAGTAGCCAGTTTTCCTGCCTGATCCCCACTTTTTCCAAATGAGGAAACTGATGCTGTAGTTGATCTATTCACACAAGTAAGGTGAAAAAAGGAGTTAAAATGAAGTTTGTGTTTGTGAACCCTAGTTTCTCTATTGTGTTTTTATTTTTGATTTTAATTTTAATTTTGATTCCTCCTGCTTTGACAGCACAATGAAAGCTTTGACTATCTATGCCTCCCAAATATACAATCAGTTTAGACAGACATTTGACATTCAATTTCAGGGTTTTCACAGAAGATTTTATTTCTCTATGATGATACTCTTTAGAAAATGTTGAGGATTGTAGACTCAAACTTAATCTTATATCCTCTCTATTCCACAGACCCCAATTTAGGGTGTCAGAAGTTAAAGGATACATTATCAGTGGCGTATTAAATACAATGCCTTTTACAACATTTTTCTGATCATGTATAAGTCTATAAAGAGGATGACCATGAGTAAGTTAGGGTAAGACACTTCCATGAAAAGCCAATAGTTCCATGGGTCAGCACCTCTTACTTCTTTAATGTTTCCTTACCAGTTTTTGGCAGTATGGAGATACTTACAGAAGTGTTTCTGAAATCCTCTTACTGTCTATATAAATTCTATATTTCTTACCTAAGAGATTCCAGTAAATATTCTGACTAAATGCGGTTGTTATTTATGTTAAGCAGAGATAAATTGCACATTTGTACCCCTATCTGGCTACTTTACAATATGCCACATTTTGATATTAGCCCATTCTCTTGTTTTCTAAAACATGTTTCTTCATGCCATGAACAACAGTTGCAATTTTAATGCAGAAAAAAGGAAGTTAATTAAAACTACCAGTATCTTCCTTTTGTTCTCAACTTTTCCTTTGTTTTCTTGATGTATTTTTAGTTCCTGTTTTTACAGCTATTTCTGAGTTGTTGAAGGCCAAGTACATGGATGATTGGAAAGGCACAGAGAGTCGAGGGATCCTTAGTGTGTATGAACTGATTTTTGAGAGGATAGCAAAAGATAACATTTAGCCTGAAATGTTAAAATACATTTTTTGTGCAAGAATAATGATAAATACCTTGTGTACTTTAATTCTATAATTCCAAACAAGACACAATTATAAGACTATGCAGTATTTAGTTCACTTTACAAAGGAAACTAGTCTGAGTCCAAAGTTAATATACAGTAGACTAATTGATCTTTAATTTTAAATACATCACCAGCTCTTTTTCATCTTCTATCTTAAGAAGTGTAGCGCCCATCTGCTTGCAGAAATTCTGACTGTCATTAAAATTCTTCAAATCATATGAAAAATAATAGCAGTCCTCTCCACAACACGACCACTTATTTTTACATGTGTTGCACTCACTTCCTAGAAAACAAAATAAGTTCCCCAGAGACCCCTGAGTATGAGTCCTGGGAGGAGCTCTGAGGCTGAGAGATGGAGGTGTCCTTCCCAGTCCTTCTAATAAACATTTATTTTGTGAGATGATGGACTTCATTTGTGGCTTTTGAAAGAGCCCTGTTCTGTGGAAATCATCACATAATTTATATTTCTCCAAGTCTATGCATGATATTGTTAAAATTTTCTAGGAAACCTCTCTAACGAAGTTAGTGTTTTCCCATACAACTTCTGCCTGAAGGACTTCCTAGTGAGAAACAGCTACGGAGTAAACCCTGAGTACAGAGCAGCTCTCTACTTATAATGTCCCTGGTGTACATACCCACACTAGGGTATAGTAATGATTTGAGAATAGGATGTGTGAATTTTAGGGTTTTTTCTGGGAGCACAATTATTACTTAGGGCAACCATAAAGTAAAAGAATACAATTATGTTGCATGCAGAAAGTTCTAACCTCTGGGAATTAGTGACTTCTTCAACAAAATGAGAATGAAAACTGGACTGCACAAGCAGTTCATTGGATAAGGAAGCCCAGTTTGGGTAGGATATTGGGAGGTTGAGGGGAACCAGAGGGAGTTATGTTTGTCTCTGCATTGAAAACACACTTGCATACCTGAGGTGTGTGGTGTCTCTGAGAAAGCCGTGTTTTCCAGTTTGGAATCAGGAACTGTTGTTACATTTTTCAAAAATGCATCCTGTGATTGGGCAGCCCGACAAACCTGGAAAACTTTACCCTACATTGTTAGCTTGGGGAAAATATAACATAGGAATGAATGAAGGGCACAATTTTAACTTTAATATGTCATTTAATTTTTAGGAATGAGGACCATTTTTATTTCTGTTGTTTTAGGCTTCTTTGCATATGATTTACCCCCCCCATGAAAAGACATTAATGACAAGACATCTTACTAGACCTTGATGACAGAGTAATGTAAACATGCAAAGCTTTTGTCTTCAAGTAGCCCACGTGTCATACTATGGAGAATATGTAATTAGTATATATTATGAGCGCCATAAAAGAGGGAATCGCACATTGGCATTGGTTCTTAGAAGAGTTGACTGACTAGAATTAGCTTCAGGAACACTTCACAGAATTAGGGATGATCTAAATTTGCTTTTGGCTCATAAGAGGAAAGAAGTAGAAAAATGAAGAGGGAAGATTATAGAACTTCAGATTGTTGGAGCCAATTTTCAAAATTAGAGAAATGGGGAAAGACATGACATATTAGGACAGTCCAAAGTTACTATATCCAGAAGATATGGTGTGAATAAGGAATTTGGGGTGGGGAACGTTGTAAAGGCTTGAAATGAAAACCAAGTTTTCAGGCAGCACCTGTGGCTCAGCGGGTAGGGCGCCAACCCCATATACCAAAGGTGGTATGTTCAAACTTGGCCCAGCCAAATTGCAACAAATAGTCAAACCTTGTGGTGGGTGTCTGTAGTCCCAGTTACTTGGGAGGCTGAAGCAAGAGAATCGCCTAAGCCTAGGAGTTGGAGGTTACTGTGAGCTGTGTGACATCATTTCACTCTACCAAGTGCGATCAAGTGAGACTCTGTCTCTACAAAAACAAAAAACCAAGTTTCCATTTTCATGCCCCAAATGTTATATGAACACTGTCTGAATTTCAGATAAGGCATGTAGTAGTCTGCACATTTTTATTTTTCATACCAGTACACTTGAGACATACCAAGTGTTAATATACTGCTAAATCATTTAATTCCCTCAATCATTATGAAGTCTGTTACATGACCCCAGACTTCTTCCATTGGAATTATGTTGTATCTATAAATCCACCATGACTCTCCACATAGAGGAGTTTTTATTTGGGTCTCCCAAGAGAACTTTAATTATCTGAAGGCTGATAAATTTTATCTTATATTTTCTTCCTGAAGTTTTAACTTTACACTGAATTGTATATTCCATATCAAGTTCATTTGTATATGGTGCAAGGTAAGAGCTGAGCCCTTTTTTTCCTCTTTACATATAGATAGATATCTAATTATTTTAGTACCACTTTTTGAAAACAATATTCTTCTATGGAAATATAGTAAGATTTTTGTCAAAAATAAATTGACAATTTATGTACGTATTAATGTCTATATTCTTTATTCTATTTGAGTGTCTTTTTTTAACAATGCCACAATATTTGACTATTATGACATTATAGTAGGGCTTAAAGTAAATAATGTGAGTTCTTTATCCTCTTTCATGATTATATTGAATTTTTTCTTTCAAAAAGAAAAATTGCAGCTAGTGATCAAATCTTGCATGATTCCATTCACCAATAAAAGGAACATGGAGAATGTTGAGAATGGTTGCGAGAATGGTTGATTCTAAGACGGGTAGAAAATACACAAGATGTGTTCCTGTGCTCACGGAAGCTTATGGAAGTTTCAGAACAGAGGGGTATGCTTCAAATGATAGGATGTGTCAAAGGGATATAGGCATCAAGGAAAAGAGTTCCCAGTAGCCAAAGATGGAATTTTAAAAAGAGTACTGTAATCTAAATAGAGAGTTAGAAAACTTAGAGAAGTCCTCAATGTCCTATAAGATGTGTCTTAAGGGATCCGTATGATTTCCACAGAAAGATGTGCATGAGGAAGACTGTCCAGGTGAAGGAACCACACAAAGAAACGTGTTAGGACAGGGAAACTTAGAAAACATGTGAGGGAAAGCAAGTGATTTAGAATTATTTGAATCCAGTTGAATATATTGAGTGAATCTTAGAATTATTTGAATAAAAGTATAATGCATGAGTCAAATATAAGTAAAAGAGTTTGGACATTATTCAGTATAGAATGAATATATTGTGAATATATTCACCCAATTCAGTATAGAATGAATAGCGTGGCTTCTGGCCATTTGAATGACACAATCAGAGATACATTTGAAAAATTCCCTTGGTAGTTTAAGATTTTGAATGTCTTTAGGAATTAGGATAAATAAATTAATTGTAATACTAGACGGTACTGGCATTATTGCCTTATATCAGTTGTTCATGAGAATAAAAAATTTAAAGATGAATTTGGGTAGCAGAATGGCAGTATGGAGTGACAACCAACAGGATTTTTCAAAGAAACTGTCAAGGAAGGAGAAAATTAATGTGTACACAGCATGATCTACCATGAATAAAACCTTCAGTATTGTTTTTTCTGCTAAATGCCTGCATATGACCTGTGCCTTATAACTAAGAGACACTGGGTACTTTTGAGGAACTTCATGAATGGGCAAGTGATTGCATTAGTGGTGAAGGTGGGAAGGTTGCCTAGGTAAAAATGGAGATCAGAGCTGTGCACCTAGTAGGAAAAAAGTAGTGAAAACAATAATTCCTTAAGGAGGAGAAATGTGGTTTATACCACAAATGTACATGCAGTAACTTACCCATGTATCCCAAGATTCCAGTTGTTAAAAGGAGGCAGAAACAGGAGACACCAAGAATCACTACAGTGAGACGCCAGGCAAATGGAACTGACGACCCTGAGAGAGAGAGAGAGAGAGAGAGAGAGAGAGAGAGAAAGAGGCTGAGGGGAACAGATGGGCCAAATGGGAATTGCTGGCAGGGATTAGAGGGAGATGTTCTCATAAATTTATGACCCTGATTCTTCAATGTCTTCAAACATCATAGATGGAAAGAGATACTGGCCGGTTGAAATAACACTGAACTGATCCCTGGGCTGTGCTCCTATTCTGTTACCAGAATATCCAATATATTACTTTTCTTGACTCCTCATCAGAAGATAGTCATTACTCTATAAATATCGTATGCTGTCATACTTGTGTAAACACTCGGTTTTCTCATTGGTGTTTCACTACTGTTCTTCATTAATAGGAATAGCTATGGTTATGCGCAGAAGAAATTCTAATCACAGACTAAGTGCTAATCAAATATAAATTTCTAGAAATTGCACAGAATGAGTCCATAGTAACATGAGATCACAACTGTTTCTAAATAAATGGAAAAGAAATAATTTTCCTATTTGACTTGATCAGTAATGAATGTATGTATGTAGCAACCAAACCACACTCATTCTCTGGAACATCTAAGCTTGGATATTTGGTTTTCCACATATCTTTTTCATTACAAATTTTCACTAAAAATTTTTCAGAATAGTTTAAACAAACTTACAAAACTGGGAAAGCTAACTCAGTGATGCAAGAGAGTGGTTTCTGTCTTGTTACTTTAATCACATGCGCACAGGCCGAGACACTGGAGGATGGTGAAGGTCTGACCCTATATAACTTTACCTTTATTTTTGGATAATTCAGATCTTCTAAGATGGGCGTTTGAAGGCTTTGATTTCACTTTTGAGTATATATGCTGCTCTTCCTGCTCTTTTTTCTCTGGAGATTAAAATAGAGATTTAAATACTGCTTCATATTCACACTATTTCTCCAAAAACATGTAAGCTATTAATATATGTAAGAGAGATAATGCAATTCTTTCCTAATAAATGAAATCTATACAATTATTTTCTTCTTACAATGTAAAGTTTATTAGGTACATTTTCTTTCAGATAACAAAATTTTAGGAATAAGTTACACATAGCATATATGTTAAATTAGAATGAAACTCTTTAGGGAAATTGTTAAACAGACAGCAGAAAATGACCTCAGGACTCATTGAGTAAGGACAGGAGAGAGAAAAGTACTTACTGTTCTTTGGCATCTGCCTCATGGCATGAAGTGGATTTAATTCTATATATGTTAGACAGTTTTCAGTCATATCTAAAAACTTTTGAGGTAAAATTCTGGAAGACACAAATGAGCAGTTTATTAAAAAAACGTTTTCATGTTTTAGCTTCTCTGAGTTCTCTGTATATCATTGAGGTCAGTATTCCACGCTATTCAACTACTGATGCATTCAAATGAAATTTTTCATTTGAAGTTTTATTCTCAGTGAGATTTTTCTATTAATATTTTACTATTCTAATAATGCCAGTTCTCAACATCTTTGTGTAGGTCCTTGACTATTATCTTTTCAAGTAGTACTTGGAGTTCATTAAATATGTTATTTACTTCCACTAAAAATGATAGAAATGTGTGATCTAAGAAACATGTCACTGAAAAATTGCCCAATCCAGAAAATAACAAAAAATTTTATAACTCAGTTGTATTGTAAATATAGATAATGTTATATAATTGATTATTATCCATTTTTTTCTTTCATGGTTTCTGCTTTTTTTTTTTTTTTCTATTTGTCATCAACCTTTTTTTTTTTTTTTTTTTGGTCATATTTGTCACTGTTGTTTTGGCAGGCCTGGGCCCAGCTCCGGTGTACATGGCCGGTGCCCTAGCGGCTGAGCTACAGGCGCTGAGCCTGCCATCAGTATTATTATTAGTATTTTCTTTAGAACAATTAGCTTCCCATAACTTTCTAAGTGGCTGTTGCTGCCTCCTCCAGTATGTTAGAAATAAATGCCCTACACCTAGGAACAAAATTGATTAAGATGTTCTATGGGTTATGTATTACGTCCATATATTGAGTGCATAATATATGAAGGCATTCCAATATTTTGGAAACATTAATTTTCTTGGAAATACTTTGAAAAGATAATTAATTTGTGCCAAGAATTTTAAATTTTTTATGATCAACAAATTTTATATGGGGTAGGAATCCAACTACATAAAATTTTAATAATTTCTACACTCACTGGTTTGCCAGTGTGCCATCACATTAAATGGTTTCTACAGATATTTATTCCTCAGGCAATGATGTGAATTGATACATTTTATAATGTAATTAGTATATATATTTTTCTCTATGTGCATAAACATTAACCTTAAAACATTTAATAATTTCTTGCCAAAAATATCCTATATGAAAGCATGATTGTGCAGAAGAATAACTCCTTTAAAAATTCTTTACCATGTCTATCTCAGAAATTTGGGAGCTATAACATATAAATAAGCCAAGTATAGGTATAGATTTGTAATATAGAATCATATTATTCTATGGATAAGAAAAATATGAACTTGATTAAATCATTATTTAAATGATAATCCTGCCATCATTGATGTGACCATTTTGCTCTATTAATACAATTGTTCAATCCATGAGATACACTGAAATATTTGTTAACAAAACTTATATTCAATTTTTAAAGTTTGAATTGATCAGTTCATTAGCCTGCAAGGTTACATTGACTGGATTTTTGAAAAACTATCCACTCTTTATGCTCTGGTAACAATAAGATATGCTGAGAATAATATGGATATGCTGTAGATATGAATACCTGAGTCAATGCCGTGGCGTTTCTGCTGGCCAGGGTGTTTAGTCCAAATAGACGATGTAAGCCCCAGTGGGCAGGTGGAACATATAGGTTTGATCTGGAACAGAAGATGATTCTTCTTGGCTCTACATCTTTTCTGCCTGCTCTACTTACCTAGTCACTAGTAGGCTTCAGTAATTTTCCGCTACATGTAATGATGTGAGAAAACTATTCACATTTGAGCTTCAGGCTTTACCCATTTGCACTCTTTATTACTGAGAAATGTGCAGTATTTTAACAAAGGAGATGAATGGGCAAGATAATTTGAAGGGCCATGCTCATTTTGCACAGAATCCAAGCAAACACTGTATATTAAAAATAAATAAAGACCACTGTCACCACTACCACCAGCAAACACTGAGATTCTAAATATAATCCATATAATAGACACCAATGTCTGGGGCTCTAAATAGAAACTGTACCTATTGAGATATTTAAATCTGTCTTCTGAACTACTACAATATTGGCTAAGTAAAAATACTGATGGGCAGTCATTCCCCACATTTATCAGAAGAGGACTGTGAAAAAAGAGACTGTTAAGGTTTATTAGCGGTTTCTGATTTAATAGTAATCTCTAGTTCATTTTAAATAATGTATATCTAAAATTAATTGTTTTATTGTTTTGTCCCATACAATGACCTTTAAAAAATCTGTTTTTTGGGGTCATTCTAGCATGAATATTGATTATACCTAATCTGAACTTTAGACTTTGATCATATTTTAATCCCTCTCCCCACCCCAGGCTGTACTCACATTATAATGAACAGAAGTCCGTTAGCTTCCTCTTTAAGTCTGAGGTAGCATCTCCTATGGAGTAATGGATAAACAATGATAACGTAATTAATTTTATAGGTTTCAGCTACTAGAAAGAAGTTGAAATAGTTTTTTTTTTATCTTCCAATAATTCAAAAAACATCATTAGTAAATAAACATATTTCAATTGTGAGTTTTCACTATTATAGGAAAACATTTGAGAATGACCCATTTGTCAAAAATTTTCACTGATGGGGGAAATTCTGACTACAGGAAAACCCATTTTTATGTAAAAACAAATTTTCACACAAGTTTTCTGACAGAGTGAATGTAATCAAAGGACAACTTAGGGAATAAGTGAAAGAGGATGATCTTATTTATCATACAGCAATACGTTCTTTTTGGTCTGGTTAGAATAACTTCTCATTTTCATCCTGCTCTGTCCAGCTACCATAAACATTCTCAGGAAAGGGCATTTGGCAAGTTCAAGGCTCAACCACATTGTGATTGCTATATCAAAACCTGAAATCATTTGCTACCAGGGGTGTCCAACCTCTTTGGATTTTTATCTGACCCCATAGATAAGGAAAGTAGGATTCAAATAATCTGCATGAGGCTCAGGAGCTGTGCACCCCTGCACCCCTGGGTGCTTCTCACCTCTGCAAGGCCATCAAGTGTTTCTATGGTTTTCTGGTCACTTCTTCTGTCTACCTAATAAAATAACAACGCAAAAAAAAAAATAATAACAATGCTTTTTTTATCACTTTCTTTTCACTATGAAGCCATTTTAAAGCAACTCATCATTTTTAACCATGGACATTTTGTAATAATTATTTTTAGCATGAAATTTACATACTCTCTTATTTCTAAATAGTTCAATAATTATTTAATCTTTCCTATTCTGTGTGATTCTTTTACTTGTAATTTGATCATACTTTATCTTACAAATTACCTTTTCCAATTTTAAATATTAGTTCACTCAGATTATTGAATACTTTAAAAGATACCAGCACTGTGCTAAGCACTTATAGGTATTATCTCATTGATACTTAAATAAATTGGAATCAAAAAATTAAAATTGCTAGTTAGAGGATGGTATTAAAACAGAATGGGCATTGTTCACTTTGTTGGCCTTTCTGTCTTAATTTCATGAATACACAAATGTGGATAAACACTAACACATACAACAGTCACAGTACATTGCAGAGCCTGTTATTTAATTAAGGCTTAGTCATTAGCACGAAGAGTAAACGAAAGAAATCAGTTTAAAAGGCTCAAAATTCAAAATATGGAGAAGAGAAGCCTGTTTAGAAAATGTTACTACTGGGAATATAATGTTTACCATCTATGAAGCATAGCTTTTCCTTTACAACAATCTTAGTGGTATTACATTTCTAAAATATTCTTTGTGCCTTATTTCTCTGATTATAACAATTAAGAATGGGTTTAAATTTTCCAACTTCCCTTATACACGAAACCCAAATGCAATTTATATTTTATTTCTATCTCATTTAATATTTTAATAATGTGAGCTAATAGGTCAAAATTGTTAGTATTCAATATTTTGCATTTTTGCTACGCAAGCAGAGTTAAAGTTTTACTCACTCAACAAAGGAGTGAGTGATAAATGATTAGACAAACAGAAAGGTCTTTGTTATGAGTTAACTTTTGCAAAGTTGTTGGTGGATTTTATGTCTTTTATTTTCTTCATATGAGAAATGGGGCTAAGTGTTAAATGCACTATAAGAGTAGTTCTTAAATATAATTTTTAAAATATAGAATTTTTTACTTTTGAATAATTTTTAATTTACAAAAATTTGCAAAATAGCTCAGAGAGTTTCCTCACCTAGATTCCCTTAATATTATTATCTTACATCATCATTATCAAAACCAAGAACTGCAGATTTCTGCAAGTCTACCTTGCAGCTTTTACTAGTAGTATCCACTTCTTTTCTTGCCTGAATTCTAAATTACGTGAAACAGAGATGCCAGCTTTTCCTCTGTCCTTTGGTATTCCTCAGTCCACAATACAGATGTCCACAGTATTTTGCAAATCAGGTCTGTTCTTCTCTCTTTGGTTTGAAAGACGGAAGTGGGCTGCCACCCTGCTTCAAAACCAGGACTTCCACTTCAAAACCAGGACTACCACTGCTCCAGAAGTTTGGGTCTGAGTGAGTAAAAATACCACAAAATTTTTCTGTTTGAAGGTTTTTTAACTGATTATTTTCTTCAGTGCTGTAAACATCTGACTGATTTACGAAGCTCCAGCCAAATTGCACCTACTGGTTTCTGCTTCTCTTTTTATGTTTTTGTGGGGGATGAGAGTTTGAGTCTTTTTAGTTTACCATTTTGCTGATGTCACTTCAATGCATTTCTTTTTAATGCTGAACTGTATTCCCTCATGTGGGTATATGATTATAGGTGAAAGGCCTACATGCCTCTGGCCAAAAAAGCTGTTTGAGAGAGAGCAGTGAAAAGACTTTGTGCAGGCATACTTATGATAAACTGAGGTAGAATCCCATATGGCCAGGTTGGTTGTGGGCATAAACACCCCCTGACCTAAGGTTGGTCTGGTTGGTTGCGGGCATAAAAACCTCCTGACGTAAGGCCCACATGGGAGCAGAGGCTTGCAAACAAGTTTCTACGTGTCTTAGGAATTTCCTGACTATACCTTGCTTAAAGATTAAAGTAGCTGCCTCCA